CCCGGAGAGCGCATAGGGAGGCCAGCATGTTCGGGGACATTTGTCAGCTTTTGTTTGGTGCGGTCAGCCCCATGGCCGTGTGAAGCTGCCTCCCACCGGGTCAGATCATTAGCCCATCTGTGCAACATCCCTCCAAGGTCTTAGAGAGATCTGCAACCTGGGATCCCTGATTGTTTGGAACCCCCATATCCAGGGATCCTGTTCAGGAAATTTTTTTAGTGTTTGATGTGGCATTGTTTTTTGTTGGGAGCTGCCTAGCGTGGCTGGGGCAACCCACTCAGATGGTCAGCATATAAATTTATTTTATTTTATTTATTTTATTTTAATTTATATTACTACAGTGGTACCTCTAGTTGCAGACATGATCCGTTCGCACCCCAAAAAGTCCACAACTAGAGCGGCACTTCTGTGCAAGTGCGGAGCGCGATAGAGTGCTTCTGCGCATGTGCAAAGCGTGCAGAATGCTTCTGCGCATGTGCGCACTGCAAAAGTGTATACTTCCGGGTTTGCTGCGTTCGCAACCCAAAAAGCCACAATGTTAAGCAAACGCAACAAGAGGTATGACTGCATTATTATTATTATTATTATTATTATTATTATTGAATGTGCAAAGTTGTCCTAAAGTAAGTGAGATTAGTGGTTCATCTAGGCCAGATTTCGCTTTCTCAGACTGGCAAACGTTCTCCAAGGCCTCAGGAAGAGCGAGAGGCCTTTCTGAGCAATGCTAGCTGAGATTCCTGGCTGCAGTGCTGTCTCTCAATGAGCGAGATTCCTGTTCCACCCACATATCAAAAGGGAGTGTGGTGTAGTGGTTAGAGCTTCAGACTAGGACCTGGGAAACCAGGGGTTGAATGCCGGCTTAGCCTTATGAAGCTCACTTGGGCTAGTCCCTGCTTCCTAATCTGACCTCCCTCACAGGGTTGTTGTGAGGATAATACATGGAGGCGGAGAATTATGAACACCGCCTGGAGGAAAAGGCGGCATATAAAAGCATATAAACCAATAAAAAATCGTCAGGACACCACTGCCCAAAATACCATGGGCATTATTCTTAAAAATAAGACCATGGCTACAACAGAAATCTGCTGGTAGGAGATATGTATTTTTCCCCTTTTTCCCCTTTAAATTTCGCCTTGCTTGGTACCAATTAATGTTTTTTAATAAGGATACCCTTCGTGTCTGTACTGCCAGCAGCTCCCCCTAGTGGACATCTTTAAAAAGCCATTTCCCAACTCCTCGTAATCTATTTCTTCCACATACCCAGCGGACGTTACAGAACTGGGGGCCTGATCCTAGGCGTGCAAATTCCAGCTCCCGGGAGCTGGGACAGAGCAATGGGAGCTCACCCCATCGCGGGGATTCGAACCGCCGACCTTCTGATCGGCAAGTCCTAGGCTCTGTGGTTTAACCCTTCTTCCTAATGTAACATTTCTTCCTAATGTAACCCTAATGTCTCAACAAATGAAACTGACCTATGGAAAATGTAACTTGAAAAAAGAGACATTGTGCATACCTTTGTAAACCAAGAAAACTTTAATAAAATATTTTTTTAAAAAAAATATAATTATGGCTATTGTTATTACCATGGTTCTTTAGACTGAGAGGTGATGCAATAGCTATCTTCAGATACTGGAAGGGAACAAACACAGACAATCATAGAATTGTAGAGGTGGAAGGGACCCCAAAGGCCATCTAGTCCAACCCTCTGCAATGCAGGAATCTCAGCTAAAGTATCCATGACAGATGGCCATCCAACCTGGGCTTAAAAACTTCAAATGAATGAGAATCCACCACCTCTAGTGGGAGTCTGTTCCACTGTCTAACAGCTCTTACTGTCAGAAAGTTATTCCTGATGTTTAGTCGGAATCTCCTATGTTGTAACTTGAAGCCATGGGTTCAAGTCCTACCTTCCAGAGCAGGAGAAAACAAGCTTGCTCCCTCTTCCATGTGACAGCCCTTGAGATCAATATCTCAATGGCTATCCTATCTACTCTCAGACTCCTCTTTTCCAAGCTAAACATCCCCAGCTCCTTCAACCATTCCTCATCAGGCTTGGTTTCCGGACCCTTGGTCATCTTAAGACTCCCTCAAGAGCTTCTGGGCTCTCCTTCCTTGAAGGTTTTCAGAGAGAAGTGGGACGGCCATCTGTCATGGGTTCCTTAGTTTAGATGCCTGCATTTCAGGGGGTCAGACTAGAAGACCCAACTCTACAATTCTGGGGTTCAACTTCCTACAAGCTGCTTTGAGGATGAATACAGAGAAACTAGGACTAGGGCTCAGAAGAAGAAGAAGAAGAGTTTGGATTTGATATCCCGCTTTTCAATCCCCTTCAGGAGTCTCAAAGCGGCTAACAATCTCCTTTCCCTTCCTCCCCCACAACAAACACTCTGTGAGGTGAGTGGGGCTGAGAGACTTCAGAGAAGTGTGACTGGCCCAAGGTCACCCAGCAGCTGCATGTGGAGGAGCAGGGAAGCGAACCCGGTTCACCAGATTACGAGACTACCGCTCTTAACCACTACACCACACTGGCACTACACTCAGTGCTGGAAGGAGGAAGAAATGGAAAATCTGGAGTGAGGAAGAGAAATAGAACAGAGCTGCTGGAATCTTGAGCAGCTGCGCTCCACATGTCAACATTTCGGCTGCGTACGACACCAAACCGTTAAATCACCATACAAAGCACATGGCTCCCGTGCCCTGCGAGAATCCTGGGAGTTGTAGTTTAACCCACAAAGAGCTACTATCCCCAGCACCCTTAAGCAAGCTACGGTTCCCAAGATTCTTTTGGGAGGGAGTTCTGTTCTTTCAATGGGCTCTAAACGCCTGGATGAGCTGAAGAACCCCATATGCGGGTGCTACGATGTCTGATCGCACAACACACATTCGCTCTTTCCATTTTAACATGGCAGACACTCAAAAAGGCATTCAGCAGCCATTTCCATCTGGCTAGGAAGCATGATCCTGGCATGTGGTATCCGTGTGTGCTGGAGGAGACTCTTGAGAGTCCCAGGGACTGCAAGAAGATCAAACCGATCCATTCTGAAGGAAATCAGCCCTGAGTGCTCACTGGAAGGACAGATCCTGAAGCTGAGGCTCCAATACTTTGGCCACCTCATGAGAAGAGAAGACTCCCTGGAAAAGACCCTGATGCTGGGAAAGATGGAGGGCACAAGGAGAAGGGGACGACGGAGGACGAGATGGTTGCATAGTGTTCTTGAAGCTACCAGCATGACTCTGACCAAACTGCAGGAGGCAGTGGAAGACAGGAGTGCCTGGCGTGCTCTGGTCCATGGGGTCACAAAGAGTCGGACACGACTAAACAACAACAACAAGTTACGAGCAATACGTGCCTCCCCTTTCCAAGCCAAGCCAGTGATTTAACTCTCAGCGATCCCAGGGAAAGGTATGGACCTGGAATATTAGAATGGCAGAGATGGAAGGGGTGTCGAGGGTCATCTAGTCCAACCCCCTGCAATGCAGGAATCTTTTGCCCAATGTGGGGTTCGAACCCACGTGCCTGAGATTCAGAGTCTCATGCTCTGCCAACTGAGCTGTCCCCACCCACCCAGACTACTCTACAGCAAATCTGAACACCCTAACTCATTTTTAAAAGACATTGAACGGCCTCGGTCCAGTATATCTGAAGGAGCGTCTCCACCCCTATCGTTCTGCACAGACCCTGAGGTCCAGCACCGAGGGCCTTCTGGTGGTTCCCTCGCTGTGAGAAGCAAAGCTACAGGGAACCGGGCAGAGGGCCTTCTCAGTGGTGGCACCCTCCCTGTGGAGCACCCTCCCACCAGATGTCAAAGAGAACAACAACTACCAGACTTTTCAAAGACATCTGGAGGCGGCCCTGTTTAGGGAAGCTTTTAATGTTTAACAGACCACTGTATTTTTTAATAGTTGGAAGCTGCCCAGGGTGGCTGGAGAGACCCAGCCAGATGGGCAGGGTATAAATAAATTATTATTATTATTATTATTATTATTATTATTATTATGTGATCCAGCTAAGACATGGATGAGAGCTTCCAGTGGCACCTGGTCAGTAGATAGAACAGGAACACAGGCCATTTGGTGCCTTCTCCACTAGGGTCCAATGCATTGCATTTCTATTTAATTTATGGTTATTAATCCTACATTTGTGTCTATATGCATACATTACCATGTGTAGATATTATGCAAATGGGTGTCCTCTTTTCTGCATAACTCACCACACTAGGACAAACTCACAGGCAGGGTTTGATGAGGCCCTAAGCTGCTGAAGGTAATGGGGCCCTTTATATGCCCAGCTGTCCTTTGTCAACAACAAATTGTCACTTTTTTGTGTTGAATATATGCTGGATGGTAATTTATGGACCTAATAGGTATCTAAAGCCATTTGCACATAACAAAATATGTATTTTATCAAAGTAACTGTTGAAAAGTCCATGCAGAATGTAGGCACCCTATATATAGAAAGGAGCAAACCAGTGATATTTTAGGGAGCAGGCTAGCAGGCGGGGCCCATGACTTACATCATAGGAGCCTACACAAAACACTCTTGCTGTATGTAGGTTTTATTTTATTTGTTTTTTATCTTATATTTTGGAAATGTACATCCAGTTTTTTTCTTTAAATTTTTGGGTGGGCCCCAAGAGAGTGGGGCCCTAAGCTATAGCTTGTTTAGCTTATACATAAATCCGGCACCGATCACAGGCTAGACTTGAATCAACCAAAATCAGCTATCAGATGAATCAAGGAACAATTTGGAACGAAAGATTGGTAGATCTTTGGGTTCCAGTAAGAAACCAAGTTAAAATTGCACACATTCCCCCAACTATTTTCACCGTTGGGGCAGATACATGAATAAACAAGGATAATGCTTCCCTCAGGCCTAGTTGGACCTTGGGTTTTCTGCCTCCACCCTGACACATGGTTTAAAGTATATGGCAAAATTGCAAAATCGTCACACAATGCCTGGGCAGATTTTTAAAATAATAATAATTAAAGACAATACTTACAACCACTTGATTCCGTTGCAGGTCCCATTCTGCAGAATGAAAGCCAGGAAAAAGGCCACCAAAAATTGCCGTGTCATCTTTGCCCGGTTCTACCTCTCTCTTTTCTCCACGAAATCTCTTCAGGAGAAAATAAAAGTGGCTTTTTGGGAAAAGAAAAAAACCCTCCTTTATGGGGGAGGGAGGAGAGAGGAATTCCTCAAAACGCCAACCTGAAATTGAGGAAGGGGAGAAGAAAACAAAAACGGGTTAACAACGCGCCTTTTTATATCTGTACCGAAAGAGAAATCAAACTGCAAAGGAGTGGTTTGCGAATCGCGAACGAAATTCCCCTGTTCTTGATAGAATTGATGTAGTTCCAGAGACAGGCAGATTGGACGGCTCGAATTGCAGCAAAGGCACTCAAGTCCTATTGCATGGTTTTGGTTAACTCTGCATATGGCAGATTTTCCTTCTTTATCCTGCCTTTATCCCTCCCCATTTATATATATATATGTATGGCTGAGAAGAGGAAAGGAGGGGGGGTGAAATGTATGGACATCAAATCTCCACCCTCCCTGGAGGTTTTAATCTTCATCCTTTTTTCATTTGCAAATATATTAAAAGTCGAAGTGGAGGGAAAGAGCGCTTTTTTTTTTAAGGAGACGAATTACAGGAACGGATGTTGGCTAATGGAGATGCCCTCTCTGCTTGCAGATGTTGGAGGCTGCCTGGAGTGGCCTGTGAGGGATGCTCGAAGCTGCCTTCTGCCTCTTGATTTCCTTCGCACCTCATTAGGTGGAGTATCTCACTTCTCCCACATACTCAAACACCTGGACCCCAAGGAACAACCGCAGCTGGGAATAATCACGCAATTGCAAACAGCCTCTCTGCAGGATGATCGCGTAGGGCTTTGCAGGAGGTGTGTGTGTGTGTGTGGAAGGGATAATAATAGCCCAGGATTTAAATGCATTTATTGAATCCTTCTCTTCACTCAGTGACCTCAGAAGAGCACACATGAAATGCATCAAGGCAGGGGGGGAATTGCACCAGTTTCCCCGATTATAACGCTAGCATTTCTGTCCTGCTTCTTAGCATTCCTTTCACACCTGCATTATGGAACGGAGGCTTCTGGACCAATATACAGTCATACCTCATGTTACGTTTGCTTCACAATACATTTTTTCAAGGTTGCGTCCCACGGCGGCCCGGAAGTACCGGAAAGGGTTACTTCCGGGTTTCGGCGCTCGCGCATGCGCAGACACACAAACTGACATCGTGCGCATGTACAGAAGCGGCAAATCGCGACCCCACGCAGATGCACCGCTGCAGGTTGAGTTCTTTTCATGTTGCGAACGGGCCGCCGGAAAGGATCCTGTTCACAACCAGAGATACCACTGTACTGGCATGTCGTGCTAAATCTCATGCGCACCAGTGGGTTACAGCAACAGACATTACTGGACAATGTCGCTACTCCCCCTCCCTTTCTTGTTGTTAGTCATTTAGTCGTGTCCGACTCTTCGTGACCCCCTGGGACCAGAGCACGCCAGGCACTCCTGTCTTCCACTGCCTCCCGCAGTTTGGTCAAACTCATGCTGGTAGCTTCAAGAACACTGTCCAACCATCTCGCCCTCTGCCGTCCCCTTCTCCTCCCTTTCTACACATGGGCAATTCTGTTCCCAGATTATTCCTCCATGAAAATGGTGGGTATTAACTGTCTGCTTTTATACTGCTAGAGGGACACGGGTGGCACTGTGGGTTAAACCACAGAGCCTAGGACTTGCCGATCAGAAGGTCGGCGGTTCGAATCCCCGTGACGGGGTGAGCTCCCGTTGTCATCACCTCTTTTAAATGACATGATTCTGCTGTTGTGAAGTGTGGCCCTGCATGGCAAGGAATGGCTCGGGCCTTGCTAGGTCTCTGCAGTGATTGGTGTTGTGGTTAGAGTGTCGGTCTAGGAGACCCGGGTTCAAAGCCCACTTGGGCATAAAGCTGTTTTTTACGACTGCTGTCTTTTGCATGTCTGCTGTGATAAATAAAGGGTGACGTAGCAGCAAAGAGAGTGAGCTGCGAATCAATCCATGTATCTGTTTGCTGCATTTTTAGGCTGCCCAACTGAAGAGGAAAAAATCCTGGGTGGTTTACAAGTTAAAACCGTCAGGCATACGAGTAAAGCTATAAAACCATGAAACCACAAAGCCAGTGCAGACTACAGCAAGCAAGAGAGAGTGCAATTGCTGTAGCGAATCAACAAATATTTGGTTTCAAAGCTTGCCTCTGCTGTGAACATGCTGGGTGGCTTTCAGCAGACCTCAAGATTCCCTATCTGAAATATGGGAAATAATGCAAATGACCAATTTATACAGTATATATGAACCAGTCTTATCTTTATGATTATGAGGGTTTTTAAGTTTTTTAAATTGTTCGTAATTTTGTGTTTTAACCTGCCCTGGGACTGAAGGGTGAAGAAGAAGAAGAAGAAGAAGAAGAAGAAGAAGAAGAAGAAGAAGAAGAAGAAGAAGAAGAAGAAGAAGAAGAAGAAGCTGGAACATGTGCAGAGGAGGTTGACCAAGGTGATCAAGGTCCAGGAAACCAGCCCTGATTGTGGGATGTGAAACACAAGAGCAGTCAAGTACAACATTCCTAGAGTGAACATGTTTACACATGGGGAGGAATGTTTGTCCAGCCAGTAGGTAAACTTCCTGTTTCCTTCTGGGCTGGGGCAGACTTCCTCTGCATGTGACTAGAGGTGGGTGTGGCCTCACCTGTGCAGGTAACGACAAAAGCACAGGGCAGGGCAAGCCATCTCTCTCTCTATGACTACTTTTCGTTGAAGAAGCAACATCTGCTTAGCCCAAAGATGCTTTCAGCCAAGAGAGGGCAAAGGACTGTCTCTTATGAGATAGTTTCCAGGTGTATGTTGCTTTTCTAAGCTAAGTCTGCCTTCTGGGATCCAGTTGCGAACAGAATGTGAGTGAGTAAACTCTTTTATACTTTTATAGAAGACTGTGTCGTGTCTTATCTTTTATGAGGGAATAAGGGGAAAATACAGTTATTCTAGAGGCTTTAGTGAGCCTGGGCGAATGCATCCGCTGTGAGTTTAAAAAGGGGAATGTTACTCTGCTAAATTGTGGAACTTGTTAACACAAGTTGGAAAGGCTATAATCAAACAATATATCCTCTTCAGCATCCCCTGAACGTTCTTACACTGATGAGGAACGGTTGAGGCAGTTGGGTATGTTTAGCCTGGAGAAGAGAAGACCGAGAGGTGATAGAATTGCCAACGTCTGAAGAGTTGTCGCTTGGACAATGGAGTAAGCTTTTTTTTCTGCTGCTCCGGAGGGCAAGACCCGAACCAATGGATTCCAATGGCAAGAAATGAGGTTCCGACTAAACATTGGGAAGAACTTTCTGACTGTAAGAGCTGTTTGACAGGAGGTTGTGGACTCTCCTTCCTTGGGGGCTTTGAAGCAGAGGTTAGATGTTCACCTGCCACGTATGATCTTGTTGAGATTCCTTCATTACAGAGGGTTGGACTAGATGACCCTAGGGTCCCTCCCAGCTCTGCAATTCTTTGATCCTAACAACATGATAATGCGAGAATAGCATAAGACGTGCTCTGAATATTGTTAGAAATGTGATCAAACACACTCTGTCTCACACACACCCTTTTTTTCAAGCAATGGGATCTACAGTGGTACCTGGGGTTACATACGCTTCAGGTTACATACACTTCAGGTTACAGACTCCATTAACCCAGAAATAGTACCTCGGGTTAAGAACTTTGCTTCAGGATGAGAACAGAAATCGTGCTCTGGCGGCACGGCGGCAGCAGGGAGGCCCCATTAGCTAAAGTGGTGCTTCAGGTTAAGAACAGTTTCAGGTTAAGAACGGACCTCCGGAACTAAAGTACTTAACCCAAGGCACCACTGTATATTCTTAGCATGTTAGTACAGAGTACATGCCTTAGCTGTTTATAACTGGGGCAGCTAAACTCAGATCTGAGCAATCCTCTCTCTGTCTGACGCTCTGGACTCTACACAGACCACACACTTTCTCCCTAAGCCACACCTTCCGCTGGTTCTTCTTCTTCACAATCTGGGAGTTTTTGCTGCTCAAATGCACAGTCGAGCTCTGATAATGCCCCTTGCTTGGCTGGATGGAAGACAGAGGTGTCGCTGTGTGTTTGTGTGTGTGAAAGTACGTAGAAATCAACTTACTTTGCAAAGGTAAAATGCACATTACAGGCTGTACCTCAGGTTACAGACGCTTCAGGTTACAGACTCCACTAACCCAGAAATAGTACCTTGGGTTAAGAACTTTGCTTCAGGATGAGAACAGAAATCGTGCTGTGGTATCGCGGTGGCAGCAGGAGGCCCCATTAGCTAAAGTAGTGCTTCAGGTTAAGAAACAGTTTCAGGTTAAGAACGGACCTCCAGAATGAATTATGTTCTTAACCCGAGGTACCACTGTACAGTGGTGCCTCGCAAGACGAATTAATTCGTTCCGCAAGTTTTTTCTTCTTGCGAGTTTTTCGTCTTGCGAAGCACGGTTTCCCATAGGAATGCATTGAAAATCAATTAATGCGTTCCTAGGGAAACAGCTTGCCAGGCTGGCGGTGCGGAGAAGGGCTTTTCTCCCCACCGCAAGCCTTCAGGACAGGTACGGGAACAGAGGGGAAGGCGCGCAGCGCTTTCCCTCTGTTCCCGGGGCTTGCGTGGGAGGAGGGTTTTTCCTCCCCACCGCCAACATTCAGAACAGCATTCTGAATGTTGGCGGTGGGAAGGGAAACCCTCCTCCCACCCCAAGTCTCGGGCGGCGGGAGGCAGCGTTCCCGTCCCCCCGCCCGGCTTCGGTGCGATGCTCCAAAGCCGCGCGGAGGGAGGAGGAGTTCCCGCCCCCCGCCCGGCTTTGGTGCGATGCTCCAAAGCCGCGCGGAGGGAGGAGGAGTTCCCGCCCCCCCCCCGCCCGGCTTTGGTGCGATGCTCCAAAGCCGCGCGGAGGGAGGCAGCGTTCCCGCCCCCCCGCCCGGCTTTGGTGCGATGCTCCAAAGCCGCGCGGAGGGAGGAGGAGTTCCCGCCCCCCCGCCCGGCTTTGGTGCGATGCTCCAAAGCCGCGCGGAGGGAGGAGGAGTTCCCGCCCCCCCGCCCGGCTTCGGTGCGATGCTCCAAAGCCGCACGGAGGGAGGAGGAGTTCCCGCCCCCCCGCCCAGCTTCGGTGCGATGCTCCAAAG